ATCAAGGTCAAAGAAGCAATATCAAGAAATCTCAAGGCGAATTGAAATGAATGTTGGGCATGTGGGGAAAATGACTGCAGATTCTTTTGTGGAGGAAGGTAATATATCCCTTCATAATTCACCATATTCTACTGTTTTTTCTGGAAGAAGAGATCCTTGGCAGCAATGGAGTGTGGAGCAGCAGTCATATGGCACTGGCTCTCCTTATGTTTGTCCACTTTTTTATAGCCCTTCTTGTGAATATCAACAGATGTCGACTACTTACCCATATACTCTTCATTTCATTACTGGTAATATTAGTTCTTGTTTTGGTTGCAAGAATAAGTATAAGAAACCACTGGAGCCGCCCAATGATCTTTGTATTCAGCACCAAGATTGGCGTGAATATTTAACACCAAGCAGTTCAACTCCACAAAGGAAATTTAGTAATGTTTACTATCACTGTTGACCTCGGTGCATTCAGTTAAATAATCTTTACTTTATACCAAGTGAGCTGCAAATCCCAGAGTCTTGTATACTCAAGCTCATTGAAGTACACAAAAGATACTTACAAGAACAATTTGGATTAAATATTGAATAACAAATACTGTTTTTCTTGCTTGAGCTAGACTACAATAATTAGAGTGATTTTTTGTTGCATTATGTTAACCACTACAATGATTTTAAAAATGGACATGTTAAACTGAATTGTGCTAAAATAGATAATAAATACAAGTAGGTAAGTGTATTTTTTAACTCTAAATGGAGTCCAGTATTTCAGTCCAGTGAATGGAGACACCCGACAAAGACCTTGGATACAGAAGATAGCAACCTAGGTTGAGTGCAATGAAGAATAACGGCAATCAAGAAGGCTGTAGACAGGTATAGCAGCTGTTTCCCAATAGTATATAGACTGCTAGTTGAATGCCTGCTTCTTTAGAGGACCTTATCTGTCTGTTTTTATTTTATAAAATAAAAAACATTAATTTTGTTAAAATAATAATAAAATGCAAATGATATTCACGAGTGTGATGTAGCTTGAACGTAATGATTCATCATGGCGGCTCCTTTTGAACTAGAGCGGAAGAACCTATTCAGAACCTTCCAGAGTTCCTAGAGACTCAAAAATTGCTACAGATTTTCGGAAAAACCCGTTATGCAACTATTCTAAGTTTCAGGTTGCTAGCATTAGTAATAAAAAAGTTATAAGGGGTGGTGCTTGGGCAACTCAACTGAAACTGACTATACCAAGTTACTCTTCTTAACCTGTTTCCATTCAGAAAGCAAGAGGAATGGCCTATGTGGATTAGAAGGTTTGAACACTTCAGAGTTGCATCTGGACTTGAATGAGAACAGGTTGAGAGATGCAGGTCAATATATATATATACTCTATGGCGGACAAGGCGGATGATATTTTCCAAATGTTTAAACTTACTGATGCTGAAGCAAAGAACATCCTGAAGCAAAGGAATATCCTGATGTCAGAGAAAAATTTGAAGGTTTTTTGTCAAAACGGAGAAATGTTAGTTATGAGAGAGCAAAATTTAATTTGAGGAAGCAGGAGGAGGGAGATACTGTAGCCACTTTTATTAATGACCTAACACTGTAAGGAGCCTTAAAAGAAGAAATGATCAGAGACAGATTAGTTGTCGAATTGCGTTGTCTGAAATGATTTTGAAGTTTAAAATGAATGACAAGAAGAGCGATGTTCCTCAACTTGTGAGCAAATTAAAGGAACTAGCTCGTGACCAATTTCAACAATTCCAGAATGCGTTTCTGAACAAAGGGGAATTTGTTTTGAAGGAAACATATTGTAGCATGGGTATTACTGAGTCTCAGTGGCATAGAATATATAAAGAAAGTTGTAAGAGTTGCATATGGTCTTTTCATAATAAACTACCGGTAAGGCATGCTACTTCTACTTGTTCTCCCACTGTTGCTCATGATCCTTTCAATTCTTCATTTATTTTTACAACTCATGACCCTGCTTGTACATCTCAAGGTCCTTCTAATCCCACTTGTTTAAGTGTATCTCTGGAAGCAGCAGTAGAGTATTCTTCTTTATTACCTGATATTATGCAAGGAATGTGGTCCAAAGCTACTAAGTTATTGTCTACTGATGGTGCAATTGCTCCAGCTCCAGGATACAGTTCAGGATCTCATAATGTTCTTAGTACAAGCAAAACTGGTTTTCATGCTGTGAAGCAGACAAGAAATGCATAGTTCATTTGTGATTTCCAAACTTTTCCTCTCTCAAGTTATGTGGCCACACAGTTACTACTGCAGAGGTAAATGGAACACTTCTATCTTTTATGCTTAATTTTAAAGCTATGGGAAGGCACAATATTACTAGACTAGCAATTGCTGATCTGCCAAAGGGTAGCAGTAAAAAAGGAAACGCTGCTCCTAGAAAAAGGGTAGCTTCACAACCTACTTAGAGTATTATCAACCCATTCTGTCATTCACAAATGCTTTCGATTGTTTGAGCATGGTGACACTGACACCAACATGTTTTTAGAGAGGTATATTACATGTACATAAAATGTACACTTATAATTATTGGTTTTCATAACAAATTGAAAAACAATCCATCATTTATGGATGGCCATGCTAACAAGAGGGTGGATGCACTAATATTGATATTGCTGAAATTTGAAGAAAACCAGTTTTTTGAGTGACAGACAAAGGAATTAAGGGTGCTGCACCACCGCCCACGCAAATTTTTTAATCTGTTGCTAAGGGAGCTGTTTCTCCCAAAATACTTTACCAATCATAATGAAACCAGTACTAGTTACAAGACAGTAACTAAATAAGTTAGTAAGCTACCTTGGAGCCTTTAACTCATAATAGCTATGGCATCAAGAGCTAAAATACTAAAGATTTTTCAAAAGCGAAAAACTCCTCTTACTTTCGATTTGAATAACCAGATTTCTAGGTGAAGGCAGTTTTTAACCAAAAAAATTGATTAACATAGAGATATTTCTCCTTTTCTACTAGTAATGCCACTTAGTTTGATTTTCATATTGCTCAACACCACATTTTCCTATATTAGCCCTGTTTAATTGAAATTATCTCTATGTTACTGTATGTGTAATCATGTAAAGAGGCTATATTGTAAATTTGGTCTGATTCTGATCACTACAGGCAAAGTTTTTCGAAAGTTTGCATTTTTCTGGCATAAAACACCAATTTCAAAATCTAAACTTCATTTTACAGCTTTATATATTTCCAGTCCCTTTCTTAAAGGTTTTTCATTAAAATAAAACCCATTTTTAGAGGAGCATAAAGAACCTAATAAGATTCTTATATGGGACACTTGTATGGCTTAAGCATTCCTGCATAAAATAATTGTTGCTATAGGCAGCACCCTTAACGTGGAAACCAAATAGAAGGCATCGTGAAGAACTAAAACGACATGATAAAGCAAAAGAAATAAAAGAATATGATACTGAAGTAATATGTTACATTAATATAATATGTTATACATCTAGTTATGATTGCAATTATAATTTATTTATAGGAAGTAAATGATAGTCAGTGGAAGTGTAAAAGTCAAACTAAAGCTGATTTATTTTACACTCTTACTCTTTTGAGGAAGCACTGTACTAGTCAGTCATGTCACATGAAGTGTGCTGAATGTGCTGGTTTGTGTCGCCACATATTTGAATGCTCCTGCTATGATTATGCAAATGGTCATATTTGCAAACATTTACATGGACTACAAATTAAACTAATAAATTCAGAAGGTATAAAACATTTTTGTGTCTTGTTTACATGTGCTGTATAGTACCTGGTACTAGTGAAGCAGAGAGTATAACAGTAAACTATGACAGTGCAATGGAGAGCACTAACATTGCAATCCATGATCCCGTTTCTATTCCATCAGGTTAAATACCTTAGTTTGATTATATTACATCAAAGGAATAGGTTCATCTGTGAAAGTAACAGAGTGTAAAACAATGATTACCGAACTTAGTGCCATGTTTAGTGAATCAAATGCTGACAATATTGCACCAGTTGTAGAACGAATTCACACACTACTGTAGAATGCTCTAAAAACAGCTCAAGCTGTAGAAAACTGTACTACACTTGGTGATACTAGTGACAACATGATAGTGGAAGAGTTTGAAATTAGAAGATCAATTTGTCCGGATCAGTGTTTGGAAAAGCAGCCTCAGTTTCACAGAACTACTAGGCCTAAACATCGCACTTCTAAGCATATATTAAAGTGAGCTTGATTATTTTGATATAAATACTTATTCCCAATAAACATAGGAAAGCTGATGCTTCGAGACGACTAGACATTATCAAATCGCTAGAACAAAATGAAGCAATAGAATATTTAATGGTATATATTTGTGTTTTAGCAACAATCAAATTTTTACACTATATAGACACTGCTGGATACAGATGACAATGGGGAAAATGTCAATGCAGATCATACCTCTAACCTTCCAATTTACTGTACATGCAGAAAGACAGATGATGGATCACTGATGGTACAATGTGCAAGATGTTCAGAATGGTTTCATTTGCATTGCTTGACTATCAGTGAAGAAGAACTTCCTGATGGTGACTGGATTTGTAATTCATGTATGTAGCTTTTTGAATAATAATACTATTGAAAATAATAATACTATTGAAAATAATAATACTATTGAAAATAATGACTTGGGTGGCTACACCCACACTTCCTCAGGAGTCAGGACCGCGCCCATGATAAATGACGCCCAACCGGAAGGATCGGCATTCCTGCACATACCGCGATTCCTTCTTTGTATAAACCCCAGGCCTTTCAATGAAGTAGCAAAATATATGGCCATACTCTTTTTCAGGCAACTTGGTCATGTCATCTATAAAATTAGCATCAAGGGCAAGGCTGTATGGATCATCCTCTATGCCAAGATCTAGCAGTTGCAGCTTCTCTAAGTATCTCTTCTGTGCTACAGCATCTAACTTCTTGTAGTACTCACTCATTGCTCTTACACGTACTGCTGCAGTACATCGTGCTTTGCTAGCTTTCCCACCAGTAGGCGTGGTAAATGAACTTCCTGTAGACAAGCTCATTTATTATTCATGAGCAAACAAGCACCCACCCATGTGAGAGGAATGTCTATACACAGTATTGTAACAGTGGGAGGACTGTTAACCACAATAGGTAGCACTGTTAACCACAATAGCTAGCACTGCTAACCACAATAGCTAGCACTGTTAACCACAATAATTTAGCACACACCTGCATGTTACAAGTGTTTATTCAGCACCAGGGCAGTTATAGGTCTTAAATTTAAAATGCATTTGCCCAAATTGCCCAATCAATAGTTAAAGGTATAATTAATTAATTAGATATATGAATAATTAATTAATTATGTGAATAATTAATTAAGTGCCCTAGTAGCTGGAGAAGGCTAGATACGCCTATGATAGCAAGGCTGCAAAAGTCGTAGCAGCCATTTTGAAGTGGGGTGAATCCTACTTAGTAATGCTACCGCGTTACTAATATTAATTATATATGGCTAAATTTGTTTCGTGTGCTTTGTGTGCGAAAAAAACTCTGACTTATCTCAGCCCCACCAATCTTTTCAGGCTAGCGACGCCCCTGACATTACAGTACATTAAAGCAAGTTTACAACAAAATTACTTTTAGTAGCAGTCCTTTAAAATCTAGTGCAACATTGGTCAGTCACATCAAGAATGATGAGAACGAAAGTAAAGATGCTAAAGAAGTTGCTATAAGTGTGTTACTCATGTGTGCTTGTGTAATGAGTGCATGTCAATCTTTTTCTTGGCCCATCCCCATGACAAAGCAAAAACTAAACTGCATACACGCTGCATAAATGCATTTTCATTGTAATAACAATTGTATTAATTACAATGAAATAAAGAACAGGTTGCACTGCAATACTATAGTCATATGCAACATAACTTTATTGTCTTGCAAATGTACAATGTGAACTTTTTGCCCTCTACTCTATTTATTAATATAAACTTTACCTCATAATGTAGTGTAAAATTCCTTGACTTTCCAAGACTACACAAAAACAACAATAAAAATTATTTGGATTGAGTTTTGAAAATGTACTTTTTAAGAACAGCTTCGAGGCAGTCAAAAGTAACAGTTGACAGCATCTGTGTCTCTCCTCTTAAAAAGGAAGACGAACCGTGCAACTCTTTGAATAAATCCACGTCACATTCAATTGGTCGAAGGTCATTTATAAGACGTCCATCACACCTGCATGAAACATCACTTTGCAATACTTTCATACAGTGAATCAAACTAACCTAAATCTATTGTGCATTACAAGATGATTCATTGCTTTTTTAACTGTTGGCCAAAAGGCTAGGTCAGCATAGCTGTTATCATTGGGCAATTCACTTCTTACATGGGCCTTTGCTTTATCAAGCAATGAAAATAGTTCTTTATCTCGACTAAGCTAAGAGAAAGAAAAGTGAGGAAATTTGTTCATTTTACTTATTACTTTCTTGTGAGAGGTGTTACGTAATATTTTTAATATTGGATTGTAGCAAAATCTAAAAAAATACCACATCATTTGAAGGTCATGTATTGGGCCTAAGTATAATCATCTTATGAATAATTAAATTAGATCATAACAAACTCTAAAAAGAAAAAATAATTCAAATTTCACATCATGGAAAGGTGATTGTATGGTGATGTATTTGGCCTAATTATAATTATCTCATGAATAATTAATACACCTTTATCTTTCAAAGGAACAACAAAGAAAAATGATACATGTTAACTGAAAGGTGTGACAAAGTTTAAAATTGTTGAACTTAGCCAATTATGGTGGCAGTTGTAACCACAGTAAAAGTATTATTACAGAGAATAAAGTGTTAAGAAAAGAGAATGTGATTTTACAGATTCCGAGAACGTAGACTAGACACACAGAAGTAACTAAACAAAAACCACACACATATAAAAAATTAACAAAAAAACCACAAAGTCAAGAAGACTGTCTAAACTAACATTGTGTTCACACAAAATAATAATTGAGAATAATCTATAGTACTGAGAGCACACATTATTAATAATAACATACTCAAAGTTAAACTGTCTACTCTCAACATTCCTTCTCAGTTTTATTGTTTATATAGTTGGTAAATTGCACACATTGATCTCAGCTTGATAAATTCCTCTTGCTTCAGTCCCATAGTAAAGGTATCTGCAATCACGTTACCAGTTCAACGAAACCTGAGTTTGATCATGTTATTACAGACCTGATCTAGGACATAAAGGTATCTTTTACCAAAAAGTTTTGCAAGACCATGAAACTGAGGATTACGAGCCACAGCCTGGTTGTCTTTAAAATGACGGTGGGTTCAGATGTATCTAGCTTCATATCCAGACTGAGTTGTCTCATTCACACTGCCTCTTGAGCAGCACTGGCTATGGCTGTCAACTCTGCCTCTGCCATGGACAGAACTACACATATTCGCTTGTTGGACCTTCAACTTACAGCTGAACCAGATATCTGGAAAAATATCCTGAAGCTGACTTAAAATTGTTACATTCTTCATCCAAGTCTGAACCAGAATAGTTATAGATCTTGGTGAAGCCTCTTTTCCAATATACTAAACCATAGTGACTAGTCCCTTTTTTATAATAAGGAAAGATGCGTTTTACAACAATCCACTGCTACTGAGTTGGGTTAGAAGTAATTCGAGCTACCTAACTCACAGCAAATGTAATATCCGGACGTGTTTCTGTTGCAAGGTATAGTAAACTAAAATACTCACTCTCCTCTGTTCCTAGCATTAATTTGGTATTGTCAGCAGCAGGTGTACTAAGTCTAATAGGTTTAGTATCACTCTAGCCAAATTTCTCCAATAGGTTCTCAGTAAAACGAGGTTGTCCAATTCAGATGATCCCTTCCTCTGGGTCATGGACAACTTTTACTTGAAGAAAGTGATTCATTCCCCCACATTCTTCATCTTAAACTTATCGGAGAGAGCTTCCTTAATACTGGACATTGTCTCATTGCTTCTTCCTGCTAAATTGATGTCATTAACATAGGCACCAATAATGAAGAATTTCCTTCTCAAGCCGGTGTGTAGATACAGGATCATTCGTAGATTGATAAAAACTCATTGCTGTTATTAAAATGTGGCATTCCAGCATCGGTGTGATTGTTTCAGCTCACAAATGCTTCAGCCTACAGAATAGCTCTTCCTTGCCTTGCATCACAAACCCTTTGGGCTGCTTCATATCAACTTCTTTATACAAAATTTCCCATTAAAGAATGATGCAGTGACATTGATCCGGTGTACAGTGCAGTGCAAAAAAATGCTAAGTAGTGCACAGTAGTATGCAGGTACCTTGCAGGTAGTAATTTTACTTTGCTACTCTTCACTGTGCTACACCCAGGAAAAGTACGGCGATATTGCCCAGTCACATATTCTGTAGTAGCAAGCGCACACATGCTTAAAAGGCTCTTAAAGGACTTGAAGATGCTTCTCTTGGCTGTCCGTGCCACCAAAATTTATCTGTACTGCTGCTCACTGCTATTAGAAGCCTGTTTAGGAGGTTCTTCATTCGATTTTACCATCAAGCTTCTGTCCTGCTGCTGACCACGTGCACTACTACTACTGGTAAGTTGTCACATGCACAACAAAGGAGTAGTAACTACCTAGTACCTACACAAAAGTACAATAGCTACTTAGTTTTTTATTCACACTGTACTGTAACTTGAAACCATGTTGAGCAGCTGGAACAATTAGAGTACGTACAGACTCAAATCTGATTACTGGACTGAATGTTTCATTGTAATCATAACCATGCTGTTGTAAAAAGCTTTGGGCTACAAGTCAAGCTTTGATTGTACAAAAGTTCCATTCGCTCAGAGTTTCTTCTTAAAAACAAACAACTATTCTTCCTTCTGATAGGCTGACTAAGTCCCAGACATCATTACCATAGATAGAATCCATTTTACACTTTATAGCATGTTTCCACTTCTCCTTTGATCCACTCAAGGCTTCATCTACTGTAGCTGGTTCGGTAGTTAGAGTATGAGCCCAGAACCATATTTGCGAGGATGAGGTCTTTGTCTGGTTGACCTTCTTATCTCCTGTTCTATTGGTAAATTGTCAGCTATTGATTTGGCTTGATCTAAATGTTCTCGTTTCCAGTGATACCAGTGCTTTATCAGCTTTCTCAATCCCTCTTGTAAACTCACTAAATATAACATCACAGCTATATGCCACTCTTAATTTGACAGGATCATACAGATGATATCCCTTTGTTCCAATTCCATATGCTAGCAGAACACACTTTCTGTCTTTGCATTGAGTTTATCCTTATAATCCTTGGGAATATGAACGTAAGCTGTATATTCAAATGTATGTAAGTGAGTCACATCTGGCTTCTCTCCTGTCCAGGCTTCATAAGGAATCATACCACTGACGGCAGTGGTTAAACTACAGTTTTGTAATGATAGTAATAAAATTAATTATGGTAGTAGTAATAGTAATAATGAGAGGAAAGAGAAATTACAGAAAATAATAGTCAAATTACTTTGCAACAAATGTAGTTAAGGATCAAAGTACTGTGTCAGTATCCTTCGAACTCTCTTGCCTTCTGTTTCATTACTG